TTCCAAGGACGAAGGTCAGGAGTATGGCCATTTTGAATGCAATTATGGGATTTCCAAGCTTTTCCAAGGAGAAAACGTTGCTGGAGCAAGTGCAGATGCTTGAGAGATTGGGTGATGAGTACAGAAAGGCTTCTGGTTCAGACATATCTGATGATATACTTTTGACTACGCTTGTCAGGGCGTTACCACGTCCAGTTCAACAACACATTCAGCTGGGCATGACAAACACTACCACCTACCAGGAGGTCAAAGATCGTTTGGTGGCCTATGAAAGAGTGTCAAGTTCATGGACGCGTGACAAGATCCTGACAGAGTGTCAAAGGCAAAGGAAAAGGCGGTGACTCTGGAAAGGGTAAAGGCCAACAAGAGGGTTTTGACTCTAGAAAGGGTCAACAGAAGGGTTATGGAGGAGGACAACAACAGAAGCAGAAACTGGATGTGAATGTGTGCGCCTACTGTGGAAAGTCAGGCCATTGGCAGCGTGATTGCCACAAGAAGAGAGCAGACCAACAGCAGCAAGTTAGACAAGTTGGTGAGCTGAATGACGCCAAGCGTGAGACGAGTGTTTACAATGCCAGTGTTAGTACTGGATCAGGTTCTCAGGCAGTGCGTTTGTTGTCAGCTCAGCCTTGCAACAGCAGCATTGGTTACTTTGAAGATTTGACCATTCACTCAGTTCCTACTTCTCCTTCAAGTAGCCCACATGGTTTGCGTGTTTTGAGTGATTTGCGTGAGTTTGACATGGCTGTTACAGACAGTGATGGAAGTTGGACACTCAGCCCAGACTTGCAGAGTTTGAATCACCACTTGCGTGTTGTCAGCAGCATGGATCACATGGAATCTGTCATGGGTGAATGTGATGTGATTTTAGACAGTGGCGCAGATACAAGTGCGTTGCCACTGTGTTTTGCTGACGTTGGCATAGCAGGTCCAGCACCAGACACATGTTTTGTGGATGCCCAGGGTACACCTTTGAACGTTCAGGCAACTCGTGTGGCAAACATCAGGTTTGGTGACGTGACTTTTCGAGAGAGATTCATCGTGTCAGACATTACATGTCCATTGCTTTCACTTGGCAGTGTTTTGCGCTCTGGCTGGAATGTCATGCACATTGATGGAATGCCGTTTTTGACAAAGGACGACAAGAGGATTGAAGTTTTGTTCAAGAACAATTCACTGTGCGCACGAGGCCAAATTTCAGTCCTTACAGAAAGAGACATGCCAGACATGCAGCCTGCTGTGAGAGTGGTACAATTGGGCATGGTGCTGCGATGTTTGGTGCCAGGTTGGAATCGTATCAATCCACATCTCTTTGCCATCAAAACCACAGCTCCAAAACATGTTGATACAACCCTTTGTCCCTCAGATGAGTTGATGTGGTTGAGGACAACGTTGGTTTTCAGAGAGGTAGGTGGCTGGGAGGTTGTGGAACTGTGTGAGCCCATAGCAGACATGCGTCACAACCTTGAAGAGGAAATCTATGATGCTGGCAGCATAGTTGAACTGATCACGTTAGCTCACAAGTATGCGATGCAAGATGAACAGCTCGGGTTTTTCATGTATGACAGGTCTGTTGCAAACCCTGCAAACTTTCAGGTTGATGCTGCAGAAAGTGATGGGTATGAACCTAGCGTTGCGCCTGATCCACAGCCTGATGAGGTGCCAGTCGACAAATTGGAAGGAGAGCCTCTTGAGGAGGATCGGGTTGTCCCTTTTGCAGATGACAGTGAAACTGTGATTGTGGATGGCATTGCAATGACCATGGAATGCACACTCAAGATTCTCAAAGCTGGCTGCAATTCATTAGGTCTTTCAGGCCGTGGTGGCAAGGCAAAGTGCTTGAAACGCATGTCAGAGCATATCAAAGCTCAGTCACTGTTAGCTGCACATGGAGCTGAAGTCAGATTGAAGAGTGAGACAGAAAGGACTCCCATTTCCCAGACAGTCAAAGCCTAAGGAACCCACTGCGCAGGAATTGGAAAATCATGCTTTGACCCATGAGCCCTTCAAAGCCTGGTGCCCGTTGTGTGTCCAGTTCAGAGCAAAGCAGGACCCACATCCAACACGTTCTCATGAGGGTTCTGGGCATTCAGTTTTATCAATGGACTTTGGCTACTGCAGTCGAACAGTTGACGATGAGGACAAACTCACATGCTTGTTTTTGCACGACAGAGCTACAAAGATGATGGCTGCCATTCCCACTCCTCAGAAGGGTGGCAAGTACTTGCAGTATCTCACAACAGAGGTGGTCAGATTTGTGATTCAAACGCAACACACTGAACTGGCAATCAAGACAGACCGTGAACCCACAATGCATGCTTTGACAGATGCTGTGAGACGAGTTTGTAGGAGCCTGAATATCAAGGTTCACGATAGGCCAGTGGAGCGGCAGAAGTGACAGTCCAAGTTCTCAGACAGAAAGCTGGCATGTGGTTACAGCAGATTGAAGATCAGGTTGCAGGTGGTAAGACTTTGTTTTCATCCATGCATCCCATTTATGGTTGGGCTTTGATGCACGCTGGCTGGACTCACAACAGGTTTGTGGTCAACTCTGGCCAGACACCATATGAACGTGCACAGGACAGATGCTACAGTGGAAAGCTATGCATGTTTGGTGAGGACGTGCTTGGATACTTGCGCGTTGACAAAGGTGGAGCAAGATGGCAACACGGTCTCTGGCTTGGAAAAATAGCTTCAGGTGACATGCACATCATTGGAACGGCAGATGGCATTTTCCTCACCAGAAGCGTGCGCAGAAATGCAACTCCATTCAACCTCAACCGTTTTGGTGACCTTGACAGATACCCATGGGAGTTTGGTCTAGCTGCATTGGGTAGCAAGTTGATCCACAACAAGCGGTATTCACAGCCAGTGGCATTTGGTGTTGGAGTTCTCTTCCACCACAGTTGGACTTGAAAGCCATCCATGTCCAAAACTACGCCAGGAACAACCCACATGAAGATGATGATGAACCGTCAGCTCAGGCGGGGGTACCTGGTGTCTCAGAAAGCTTGGCACCAGCAGCTGGTGCAACATCCAGTCCATCTGCAGTTGAAGTGCCTCTTGATGAACATGGGGTCAAACGCCATGAACATGCAGATGAAGTTGATCAGACAAAGCGTGCAAGGTTTGCTGATGATGCGTTTTCAATTTTGGAAGCGGGCTTTCTTTTGGATGATTCAGCAGTAGGAGAGCATGCACCCAAAACGCCACGACTGGATGATACAACATACAAGCAGAAGCTCAATCAAGTTACCAGCACGGATCTTACTCTGTACGAGCATGAAGACATGCCTGTGAGCTTTTCATTCAGCAATGATGAGTTGGATGAGCTGGAGGAGTATGAGTTGAATTTCGACTAACGACTGGTATGATGATGAAGATTTGGGTGATGATGCAACCATCCAACAACTCATGTACCCCTTCAGCAAGCATGAACCCAATTTGACAGTGGAAGAACTTCAGCGCTTGGATGCCTTGGCAGATTCAGTTGAAATCAAGCGCCTTGCAAAGATGGAGGTGCTCACAGACTCTTCAAGCATGCCGTCAGATTCGAAGATCCTCTCCACACGTTTTGTCAGAACGTGGAGAGAAAAGCTGGATAGCGCAGGCCAACCCTTTTGGCTTAGGCGCTCCCGCCTAGTTGCCAGGGAGTTTGCATGGATGGATGCTGAACGGGAATCACTTTTCTCGCCTGCAAGCAATGCAATCGTGTCGAGACTTTTGCCAGTGAAGTTTCTTGAGATGTTGGAGCATGGTGATGGTATGATGGTTGGCATTGATGTCAAAGATGCTTTCTTAACTGTCAAGCAGGAAACGCCCACAATAGTGAAGTGTTTGCTAGCTGATGGAGAAACAAAAGCTTGTGGACTTGGGCGTGTGCTTCCAGGTCAAAGAGACGGCAGTTTGCTTTGGCATAGGGATATCGCAGCTTTGATGAAAAGTGAGCTTGGCATGACACCACATACACCATGCCCATGCATCCTCAAGTCTGAGGACAACAGCTGCTTTGTTTTGATTCATGTGGATGACATACTTGCAGTTGGACGCCGAGACTTTGTCATGAACAAACTTGTCAAATGCTTGAGTTCGAAATATGAGGTGTCGACGCAGGTCATGGAAAAGCCTGGTGATGAACTACAGTTTTTGAAACGTCGCATGGTTTTGCAGCATGGCTACAGACTTGCAATACAGACGCATCACAAACACGTTGAGCAGATGTGCAAGCTCTTGGGACTGAATAAGAAGATGCAGAGAAAGAAAACTCCAGGACATGCTGACATGGACCAATGTGACAACACAAATGAGTTGAGTCCTGAGTTAGCCAGGAACTTCAGGACGTGCGTTGGCATTCTCCTGTACCTTGCTGCAGACCTTCCCCATTGCCAACACGTGGTCAGACACCTTTCCACGTATAGTACTCAGCCTACTGTGAAAAGTTTGACAGTTCTCAAGCACCTTGTTAGTTTCCTTGCGTGCCATGAGGAGGTTTGTATCTCACTGAAATGGCGTGGAAGGAACCATGGAATCTTCCACAACTACAGCAGTGCAGAGCCTGGAGAGACCATTCTTGAGGTCTACACTGACAGCGATTGGGCTTCAGACAAAGGCACACGCAGGTCAGTGTCTTGTGCCACGATGTTTGCTGGTGGATGCTTGTTATACTCCTCATCGAGGACACAGAAACTGGTGTCATTGAGCAGTGTTGAAGCTGAAGTTTACGCATGTTCATCTGGCGCTTCAGATGCAGTGATGTTGTCAAGGCTGATTGCATGGATGAATGGATCGAATACAACAATCCATCTGCATACAGACAGCTCAGGTGCAAAAGGGATACTTTTGAGACAAGGCGTAGGAAAGGTTCGACACCTTTCGTGTCGTATACTCTGGCTTCAGGATTTGATCAACAGTGGACAAGTGAAGCTCAGTACAGTCCTGCAGACATTGGGACGAAACGTCTCCCATGCAACAGGTTGAAATCCCTCATGAGTGTGCTTGGAATGCTCAACTTGGCCACAGAGACAATTGAGGGAGCAGAAGACCCTGGAAACCTATTCCGCAAGAAGCAACACATTCTTTCTGTCTTAAGCGTCTTGGGCCTACTGAACCTGAAGGGATGCAACGAGGATGTGCCTGAGTCTTCAAATGGTTCCTTTGGTGTGATGGCTTTTACATTGCTTTTTGGATTTTTGTGTTTGCTTGCATGGATATGGATGCGTGGAGAGCGTGTTGAACTTACAGCTCCACTTGAACCAGATGCAGAACCAGAAACGACGACAAATCCTCACAGTGTGGATGACTACGCTGATGTCAGCCATGCAGAAGTGCCTTCAAGCTCCACAGATCTTCCAACAACAACACGACCGGCACGAACCCATCCAGCACTCACTGCAAACAGCTATATCGATTGGATGATCGAGCGTTGTGCAAGGAGACGAGATGAGACAGAAGACCACAATCGTCGAAGACTCTATGAAGAGCGTGTGACAATTCTTCATGGACTCAAAGCTGCGTTGAACTGTGATGTGGAAGGTTTTAGAGTTGGAGCCCGTCGCACTTTGGCAAATATGAGTGACATCAGTGATGACGAGAACTCGCCAAGCTACAGAGACATCTCTCGCCCGACCAGTCTTTCAGATGCTCAACTGGCCTACAACTTTGTGAGGTCTTTGCAAGCAGGGACAGAAGCCCATACAGGCTTCAGCACAAACGTGGACATGGTAGCAAATGCACTTGGGCGAGGTGATGCTTGGCCACCTGAAAATCTGGACATGACCTCAGACCAGAGTTCAGACGAGCATGTGGAGACCAGATCCGAAGTCAAGCAAAGGTACATGGCGACATGACAGAGTGAGGTTTCAGATCCAGATCTATGGGTGTTATTACACTATGGTGAGGACTCAGAAAGCGAATCAAGAACCAACGACTGAATGAAAACCTCAAGTGACTTGTCAATTTTTGCAATGATGTTCGTTTTGAGCCATGAGCGCTCTACATGAGCACTTTGTGGGATGAGACGCCTTAGCCTGAGGATAATGCGAGTCTCAGTTGGCGTGGTGACATTTACCTTGAGGAAATTAGAGAGTTTCAACAGCAAAGCCGGACCAAAGCTCTAAAAGAGCACTGCAAGAAGTGGCACATCACAAGAATGCCCCAGCGGCACTTGGTCTGGTGTTGCAAATTTAGTTTTACTTTTGTATCATGCGGCACTCACTAAAGGTGTGCGCCGAGGCGGGGTGAAACCAGTTTACTCCGCTTGTATTCCAGCTCCAACAGCATATATACAGTTGTTGCCGTTGCTTTGAGTTGACTTTGATGTGCAAGACGCACAAATCAAGAAGTGTATCTGCAGACGCTTTTGCATCAAGGAAAAGTTTCAGGAAACCAAAATGATAAAAAAATGATAAAATAACAGTTTTTCAATTTCCAGCCCGTGGCTGGCCACGCAAGTCATAATCATAGTGAATTAATTTCAGGATCTTTCTCGGGCGCTTCCTTTCAAGGGAAAACAAACAAATCTGGATGTGCAAAGAATTTCTGATCATGCTCATGGATGTATACATGGCCACCTGCACCAGGATGACACGCACAAAACAAGAAGTTCAGAATCATTTCAACTTTGCAGTGATGTCACATGAAAATCATGTGAGCTTTTGGACATGAAACATATTGTCCATTACCTTAGGCCTTGCGGTTCAAAACAAAGCTTGCGCATCTCCGGCTGACTCTTTGCATGGTAGCGGAGCAGCTGTGAGATTTCCCAGGGCTTACGTTTCCGACCTTGGTTAAGCCATAGACTTGGACGTGCCTTTACAATTCAGGTGTGACTGCAGCCTGGTGGACATTCAAAACGTTTGTGCGCATTCTGGACATCTCAACTGACTGGTTTTCATCTATTGGTTGTGGGTACATACAGTTTGCAGTACAGGTTTTTGGATATATACACTGATGGCGGCAGGTCAGTTTGACCCCAACATATTTCAAGCGGCTCTCTTACAAGTTGCTGAGGCAACTACTGCAGCTGCTGCAGCAGCACAGAGTGCAGCAGCATCAGCCAGCGCATCAGCAAGCGCTGTGGGCAGTGCAGGTGCAGGCAATGGTGGAACTGCATCATCAGGTGGAGTCAAGGCCAATGTGGATTGGTCCAAACTGCTGAATAAACCCTCTACTTTTGGTGAGGGCAAGTCTGTGGAGGACGATGTAAAAGCCTGGAGGGATTACCAATGGCAGCTACACCAGTATCTAGTTGCTATAGACGAGGGATACGACGATGAACTCAAGAAACTTACAGCTGATCCCTCTGTTGAGCTGCCAATGGATACAGCTAGCGTTGAGACGAGGAACAGAAGCAATAAGCTCTACTCCCTCTTGGCCAGCCTTATGAAGAACAGGTGCCTAGCCATTGTCAAGTCCACTACAAGTGGCAATGGCTTTGAGGCATTACGTCAACTGATTTTGGCGCTACGTCCCCCAGTTCAGAATCGTGGTTTGGCTTTGCTGACTGCCATCACTTCATGGCAGCCTTTTGGAATGCAGAAACCTCTTCTTCCCCAACTTTTGGTTTTGGAGGAAGCCTATGAGGAGGCCAGAAAGAGCGGTATGGCTGTCAATGATGAGTTGCGCAGTGCCATCCTATTGCGTTGCATTGGAGGCCAGCTCAAGACGCATCTCAATATGGCTTTGACTGACAATGCAAAGTACAGTGATTTGAGAGAGCAAGTGTTGAAATGGGACCGCGCTCAGGCAAAGTGGTCTCAATGGATGGGCAGCCATGAAACAGATGCCCAACCGATGGAGATTGACAGAGTTGAAGGAAAAGGTGGATGGAACAAAGGAAAGGGTCAAAAGGGAAAAGGAAAGTCGAACAAGGGCTTTCAGAAAGGCAAAGGAAAAGGAGGAAAATCTCCTGGAAAGTCAAAAGATGGAAAGTCCAAGTCTTGGGACAAAGGTGGAAAATCGAAAGGAAAGACGCCCAATGACAAGGGCAAAGGAAAAGGCAACAGTGCTGAGAAGTACTGTTATTCATGTGGTGGCCTGGGACACTTTGCACGTGATTGTTGGAATGCTGTACGTTCTGCACAGGTTGGACCTACCTCATCACCTTCCTCTACAGTGAACACAGGTGAGTGGAGCCATCTTACAAGCGTTTCTCAGCAACAGCAAGGACAAGGTAGCCAACAGTGTCAGGTGTCACAACAGCCACAGTCCTCTCCTAAGGCAACCCAATACAAGGTTGCACGCATTGCTGAAGAGTTCCATGCAGGCAATGATGCTTCACTGGTTTTTGATTTACGTTCGAGCCCAATGACGCCAGATGCAAACATTTGTGCGATTCACTGTTTTATTGGTGATGATGATGCTGTGGATTTGGAACATACAACTGCAGAAGTGCGTGCGGTGGTTCAAGAGCTTCCTGACCACAGTGCTATGCACAACATTCTGCTGGACAGTGGAGCCGATGCCTCAGTATTTCCAATGTGTTTTGCATCAGCTGGTGAGCCTTCATGCACTGGAAACATGAAACTACATGATGCACAGGGAAAACAAATACCTGTAGCTGGCATGCGTGATGTTGAGATTGCGCTTCTGGATGAACATGGACGTCTTGTGACATTCAGGGAACGTGGAGCCGTGAGCCCAGGTGTTTCTCAGCCCATCATTTGTTTTGGCAAACTTTTGGAAAACGGTTGGGGAGTTGATGGCATAGATCAAACTCTCAATCATGCAACAAGTGGTACAAAGATTCCAATTGAACTGCAAAACAAGTCAATGGTGGTGCGTGGATGGGTCAGAGCAATTGGGGCAGAGCTTCAACCTCAGCCTGAAGTTCCAACGTCCATTCGAGCTGTGAAAGCCTCAGTCCTGCCTTCAATTGAACAAGGTGCAGTTGGTTGGCATTTGGATCAATTTGGTTTGGGGATTGGTCGACACTACTCCAGTCATTTTCAAGATCCTTCTTTGATGGTTCCTGGCATGCATGGTGAACGTTTTCGAACAACACTTGTCAAGGACGGCAATGACTGGTACTGTTTGGAGCTGTGTGAGAAGCTTACAACACTTGTTGACCTTGCAGCCCCATTTCATGACTTTGAAGGTGAACGCAGTGTCCTGACGTTCATCAGTGATGGTGAGAAGGACCCACGTGTGCTTGGTTTTGTATGGGCAGACGATGATGTTTTGCAATTCAATCCAGCGGCAGCAGGTTCAGCTGATGATGATGTTGAAATTGTTGCACCTGAAGACATGGAAGTTCAAGGTGCTGACATTGAAGGTGGAGAAGATCATCCAGCAGCAGGCGTGGAGATCCAAGAGAAAATTTTGGTTGAACCCTTGCGTGATGACAAGCTGGTAGTGAATGGTGTTGAGTTGACAATGGACAGCACCCTTGCAACACTTCGAGCTGGATTGACGTTTTACAACCTTTCCACTTCTGGTAGCAAACAGAAATGCTTCACACGCTTGGCAAACTATCAGAAACAACAAGAACTGGAGATCATTACAGCAGCTGCAAATCAAGCCCAACGAGAAGATGTGCGTGAGCCTCAGGCACCAAAGTTGGCAGTGCCACCTTCTAAAAAGGAGCAACAACAACATGCTCTAACTCATTTGCCGTTTGCAGATTGGTGTCCTAGCTGTGTTTGCCATCGCAGTCGCCAAGACCGACACATGGTGGATGGAAGTGCAAGGCGTTCAGGTGTGCCTACAATTTCATTTGATTTTTGTCACACTCGAGCAGTTCCTGATGGAGTTGACCCTGCTCGTGCCAAGCCTCTTACAGCATTGGTGATGGTGTGCTCTCAAACAGGGTATGTTCACTGCACCCCTGTCAAAAGCAAGAACCAATTTGAACTCATGACACGAGAGCTCATTTCCTTTGCGCAATTGCTTGGCCACAGTCAACTTGAGTTTATGTGTGACAATGAACCCACCATGAGGACTTTGTTGAGAATGGCCGTGAATACAAGGCTTGCGATGGGATTGCCCACAAGGGCCAATACACCTCCTGCATACAGCCATGGGAACAGTTTGGTGGAGAATGCAATTGGCCGCATCAGACCTTTAGCTGGAAGTCTGATGCATGCACTTGGCCAGAAAGTTGGAATGGAATTCTCTACATCCAATCCTTTGTGGACATGGGCTTTGCGTCACAGTTGTTGGTTGATGAACAGGTTCAATGCAAACAAAGGTGTGACCAGCTTTGAGCTCATCACCAACAAGCCCTACCATGGAGGCATATGCCAGTTTGGTGAGCCTGTCTATGGTTACAGCAAGAGCAACAACAAAGGTTCAGCACGATGGTCCAGGATGATTTTTCTGGGTAAAGTGGATCCCCAGGACTCCTTCATCCTTTACAATGGTGTCAATTTGGTTTTGGTGAAATCCATTCGAAGGATTCAGACTGACTGGCGTGGACACTTGGCATTCTATGTCAACTTCAAGTGCAGCTCCTTTGACTACAAAAGCGGCTTTGGAGGGCGTGTTGTGCCTACAAAGGCAAACAGGTCTGCAGTTGGTGCAAGCTTCAACCAACCCCAAGGTGCAATCGAGCCTTCAACGTTTTATGATGAAGATGGAGCAGCAGTGATTGAGAAAGCCAAAGAGGAGAAACGTGAAGAGCTTGAGTCAACAAAGATGGCACTTTGGGATCGCCCTGAGAAGGTTGAGGAGGAGCTCATTGAGTTGCCACATACTGGCACTTACCCAAATCCAACAGACATTTGGGGAGAAGGAGAAGATGAGCCAACCCAGGTCTCTGGAGGACCATCCAGTGGACATGCTGATGTCCCACCTGCAGTTGCAGCAAATGATGATGATGTTGTGGGAGTTCCCAATCCAAGTTTGCGCTTGGATGCACCCAGCACTCCAATTGATCTCTTGGCAGCGCCTTCGACGCCACCATCTCCACGTGCAACACCCACTACAAGGGTACATGATGCTGAAGTTGAGGAGGAGCACTCTACAAAGAGGTTCAAAGAGGAGCCCCACAAGAAAGCCAGGTTGACCAGGCTTTCAGAAGAACGTGATGCCATGGTGCGTGTGGTGAAAATAGCTGATGATGAGTTCTACACCATGGACAGCTACAATGAAGATCCACAACTGGATGACCACTGCGACTATGGAGATCCTTGGATGGACGAGGACAAAGTGACAGCCAGTGGCATGCCAGAAGCACTTTGGTATGATGGGGACATCACAGTGCAGCCTCCGACACCTGCCAATTGGATCGACCAACTAGCTGACAAGATAGAAATTCAGAGGTTGTGCAACATGGGTGTTCTAATGCCTGAAGCTGAGTATGGAGCAAAAGTTGAATCCAGACTCACAACAAGATTCGTGTATGATTGGCGCCTGAAGGACTACAGTGGCCCCAACAACAATGAGCCAACAAGAAAACGCTGGTTAAGGAGGAGCAGGTGTGTTGCCCGAGAATATGCCTTCTTGGAACACCGTGAAGACACCTTTGCTCCAGCAAGCTCTACACATGTTCTGAACATCCTTCCAGTCCTTTGGCTTCAGAAAGCAGCTGACTTTGAAGCCAGCAAAGGAACAGATTCAGGTTGTGAGTGGCTTTTAGCAACCTTGGACGTCAAGGACGCCTTTCTCATGGTGCCCCAACCTGAAGTTCTGAAAATTCGAGTTGGAAGTGAAAACTACATCGTCCTGAGGAACCTTCCAGGTCAAAGGCAAGGTGCTCGAAGTTGGTACTGGCACTTGCGCAAATGGTTGGACGATTCTTTCAATGTGGAATGGTGCTTGGAACAGCCATGCTTGTGTCGAGGCAACAACTTTTGCTTGCTCACTCATGTGGATGACATCCTCTACTGCGGCTCTCGACAGTTTTGGAATGATGTTTTTCTCCCAACGTTCAAGAAGTCTTTCACTGTGAGTTACAGCATGTTGGAAGGAGTTGGAAGTGAAATCAGCTTTCTGAAAAGAAAGATTCAGCGTTTGGAGAATGGTTTGGCCTTGATCCCTGGAACCAACATCGATGGTTTGGTAACAAAGTTTGAAGAGAAGTATGGACGTGTTAGATGCCAAACTATTCCAGGTGACAACAGTTTGCAACGAGAAGATGTTTCAGCTGAGCTTTCAAGTGCTGATAGCAGCTTTTACAGGATGTGCGTTGGTGTCTGCTTGTATCTGAGCCGTGACCGGCCAGACATTGTCTTTCCAGTGAAGGAGTTGGCATCAAAGATGAGCCGACCCACCATCAACTCACTTCAGTGCCTGAAACGCCTCATTGGGTATCTGAAGGTCAGCAGAGACTACATGGTTGTGTTGGAGCAGCCCATTGGTGGGAGTGGCCAGGTGAAGCAATCAGCTGAACACCACTGGATTTTGGAGTCATTCAGTGACAGCGACTGGAGCACAAACCAGGAGCATCGATGCTCAACTTCAGCTGGATGCCATCTTCTATGTGGATGTTACATGTACAGCTCAAGCAGAACACAGCGTGTTATCAGCTTAAGCTCTTGTGAAGCTGAGTTACATGGCATGGTATCAACACTGGCCGACGGAATTTTCTTGAAGCGTTGCATTGAGTTTGTGGTGAAAGCAACAGTGGAACACTATCTACTGACTGACAGCAGCAGCGCTCGACAACTTGCCCAGCGTCAAGGGATTGGAAAGATCAAGCATCTTAGTGCAAAGGTTCTCTGGATCCAACAACAAGTCCAGGACAAGATGGTCAGCCTTTGCCAAATCTCTACAGTCTGGAATGTTTCAGATGTTGGCACAAAGGTTCTCAGTGCCAGACGCCTCAAACTGCTTCTACATCAACTTGGAATGTTCACGCAGGATTCCCAGCGTGTTGGTGAGGAGGAGTTCAATGAAGCAAACAACAGAGCTGGTGGAAGAAATGTCATGCAACTTGCGCGTGTGGTGGCACGGGTAATTGCAGTTATGGGCCTTGAGCCTACACGTGCAATGGGACAAGGAGATGAGACTTGTTCCAGCCCAAGCCCTTCAACCAATGAATGGTGGTTCAAGCTTGGCATTGCAATCTTGGTTGTCATTTTGATCGCATTTGCAGTTGGATGTTTTGTGGTGCGCAGGTATGTCAAGCAATTGCTCCATGACCTCTACCACTTGAGCGTCCAAGTTGCCGAGGCTGATACAGTCATTGGTGAGCACATGCAACAGGTGCCCGCCATACAATCAAGATTGGACGGCCTGATGTTACAAGTTGGTGATGTGAGCCAACGCGTTGCTATGCTTTCAAACCAGGTGGTTGAAACACAAAACCAATTGGAAATGGTAAGTGATCGACAGGATGGCCTTCACTTTGCCATCATTGAGATTGGAGGTTTTGTGAGATATCACGATCTCACAGCACGAGAACGTAGCAGTATGTTCACTCAGGAACGTGGAAACATGATGGCCCTGAACACCATGGGGGCCAGCCAATACCTGAGAGCCATTCGAGCCCAATCAAGGGCATTTGTCAGAGGAGGTGAGGACACAGACCCGCCTACAATGGAGGAACCACAGCAGCATGAAATGGAAGTTGATGAAAATGAAAATGAAAACGGAGAAAGTGAAAATCGCACAGACGATGAAATCATTACAAGAGAGTTCAATCCAGAACGCAACATGGAAACCAGACGAGGTGAACTGACAGCCACTCTGGATGACTTGAGACGACAGCTGGATGAAGCTTTGGTTGGTGGACATTACAGTGATGGCGCCGAGATCCAGCAGACAATTCTCATGGTGCTGGACCATTTGAATAATGGTGACTTGCGCCTTCCAGACCAAAGACGTGTAATGTACCTCCAGTGTGCCGATAGAATGCAACAGCTGTCAAATCGGGTCAGGAGACGTGGCAACATAGCCTTAGCTGATGTCTACATGGAATATGCAGCAAGCTATCGAAACTCAGTTTGA